GTCATGAATACTAGTTATTGATTGATTTCATATAGGTTGAAGGCAAAATATGAGACCGACAGACAGAGCTGAGAGAATTAAAAAGAGAAAATTGAAGGAGTCAAATATGAAGGATTACGTGATGGTTATTTACGAAAAAGGTAGAATAGTAAGAAAATTGCTCAAACATATGTGAAATCTTGAAAAACAGTAAATTGCAATTTTGAGAAATGAGCGGTGGTTCATGCAACTGAAAACGAAATGAGGGAGATTCGAATATGTTTTACTACTGCTCATCCGAATCTGAGATGAATAGGAATATTATTATAAACGGACCACGTCATTCTACTATTCCAAGATTCTCGTAATGATATGCTTCATATTCATGGTCCAAACAAAATTTCCTTTCAATACTCCATGTTTCATAATCAAATCTAATTTCTTTTGAATTATGAAGTTTGTTTGAAAAGAAGAAGCAATAACATTGTTCATAAGCTCCGCCTTCAATGAGCATATTCTTCATTTCTGCTTTTGCTGACAAACCGCCTGCTGTCATATTCAGCAAAGAGTATGGGCAGTGGAATATTCGATATTGAAAGCATATTAGGAAATGGTAAGTTGTTAATTATTTAAATTAATTATAAAATACTATAATGTAATCAAATTGATTGTATGATTAACGAATAAAAATATTGATTAAGATATTATAGACAAGAGTGTTAAACAACTAGAAGGATCAAGAGATTCTGAGCTAACGGCAAGTTACATATTGTTAACAAAACTGATAATAAATTATTATAATTATAGAAAAGTTCAATATCTAATCTTAATTGGAAAAGCAATGATAAACCACCGTACTCATACAATGCAATGATCACAATGGCCTTATTATCATCGGAAGCAAAAATGTATTTCAAATAACATTAAACTACATACTCAAACTACACCACCTATCATATACTCATAAAACGTTATTTAAGGATGACATTAGCAGAGATTTATGGATATATCATGAATAACTTTCCATACTATAGAAATAATAAAAAGGTACGTTTCAGTCATGTGCCAAATACTATGTTCTATCAATATTAAAATTATAAAGTACATTAAAGGGCTGGCAAAACTCTATTCGACATAATTTGTCGCTCAATAAAGTATTCTTGAAAGTTCCACGTACACATAATAACCCAGGCAAAGGTATACATATCGGAATAACTTTCATATAGATTAATAATGAATATTATCAGGCAACTATTGGATGTTGGATCAAAATAGTGAGAAAGAGCTATACATTGGTGGATCAACAGGAAAGTTACGTAGACGTGTGCCATGTACATCAATTCAATCATTTAATCTAACTGACTCAAACAATCTGCCATTACTTCATGATGTAACTCCAAAATTACTACAACAATCTCATATATTATGTCATCCTAATGCTCTATATCATCATCAACAGACTCATCATTATTGTCCATCGTTTGAGAATATGCAAAATCTACTTGGTCTCAGCAGTTTATTGTTTAATAATATTTTTCAGAGCAATATTCAACAGATATAAACGTTATATAATCTCTTTCCTAATCTTTCAACCCTCCATTAAATAATAATTTATGTTTATATTCACATATTGTTTCCATTCATTCTTCCATGTTGGACTATTTAAGAAAATGAAAACACAAAAACCATTGCTTGCCTTTCTCTAACTGTCTCTTCTCTCTAATCTCTCTCTCGTCCTCTTTCTCCTACTTTCCTACACTTTGTCATTGTGTATGTTGTTAAATCAAGAGAAAAAAAGTATTTCTTTTCATCTTCTAACTAATCTTTTACTTAGCATCGTTAAACGCATTCGTGGTATGCAAGACTTGCCGAAAACATCAAATTGATTGGCAGGAGCAGAAGTCCGACAATGTTCAACAGGTGCTTCTGTCAGTCTTACTTTTCTCAAGACCAATAATTTGACAGTCACCGACAAGAACTTTAAACATAATATATCTATAGACTACAATTATTTATATGATATATAATATTATATATATATATATAATATAAATAATGGTTTGAGAGGGAATGATTCTATTCAACTTTGAAACTACAGTACTTTCAACTACTTACTATGAGCATCTAATAAGAGAATGGAAGAGTAATAGGGAGGAAGTGAAGGAAAGGGGGGGGGATTGTGTTAAGAGAGAATGAATGAATACTAATTATATAATATAAATTATATATATATATATATATATATGAAAACTATCACACCTAGAGACTACTGTATTGACAGTATTGAAAAACATACAAAGTGTGTATAAATCTCAAAAACTATAACTATAAACAGATGCTATGATGTTTAAGGAACCGGATTATAAATGATGAAAATAAATATAAATGTATTTCATTGAAATGAGGAAAAAGAATATGCGAATGAAGGAATGATATTTCTTTAAACAAATCTAAACATGCATGTAGAAGGGAGAGAGAGAATGAAATGTCATCCAAATATGGCTAGTGTGTTTATATGTATCTGTCATCTATTGTTTTTTGTACCCGTCAATTTACAGTTTGGCGCCCATTTCCGGTCGTAGCAGTTACCGTACTATTTTTATGATGACGAGGTTTATTCCTGTTAGGATGGCGTCCTTTTAACTGCAAAAGAAAAAAAAAGGAAAAAATTTTGTATAATGATAGTCATTTGAACATACGCATTTCTTTGATGTGGTTGGATATTGGTCAGCCAGTTCTCTATAGAATGCCTTAAATGATGTAGTTTATGATTAGAAAAGAAAGGTTTATGAGATAACTATACCCATAAAGCTCGTTTAGCTAAGAACCAAGCATGTCCCCCAATAGGTCGAGCAATAGGAAAACGATGTATACCCTCATGTGAATTGAAAACTTCAGGCACAATTGCAAACTTATATCCAGCACAGCATAAATGTAAAGCCTTAACATATATATTGTATGATAATCTTAGATGATGAAATATTAACCAATGAAACATGATTCTCTTTTCCATAGAGAATTCTTTCATCATGGAATGGGATGCTTCGATGAGCAACGAACATTGGCTCCCAAAATGTTGTTTTCAACTTTTTAATATTTATGACAGTCTTTATCTCATCTCCTCTTCAAATACAAATTTTTTTTTAAAAATATTTTTTGAATGTAAGAGCACCTGTAATCCATCCATGAGTTCAAGTCAGGCACCCAATGACCAACTTTCCAAAAGAATGAATGAAAAACAAAAACATCTTCATGATATCTTTTGTTCAACTCTTCCAATGTTCTTGGTGCACTGAATTCGGATGTTGTTTTTTAAATAACATCTATAAACTACATACTTTGTTCCGGTTTTATGTTCAAATCGTCTGATGGTTAATGTAAGATTGTTCCTCTTGATATCGTGTTTCTCAATAAGCTTTCTCAGCTTAGCTTCAGCTCCATCCGAAAATTGTTGTTCCATATCGGCATAAAGAAAATATTCCGAGTTGTCACACTGAAAAATGAAATTGTGACAAGTATTAGACTAATTGTGGCAGCTGACCATTCGAGCAACGTTTCTCGCCGTATTTACCGGATAAAGCCCGGCAGGTGTTTTGAAACGAAATTTCTTTAATCTTGCTGAGAAATCGCATACAGATGGTGGTTTAATAGCTGAAAAGGAAAGGAAATAATGCTTTCACGGAAGGAAACAACATACTTATGTCAATTGTAGGACATTTGAACTCAGGGTAAGTGTTAGCAACGAATATATGAGCTGATAATGCTTTCTTTAGTGACGGATTACAGTTAACCATATCATATATCTAGAACAGTAAAATAGTTAATGCTTTGAGCAATTTTTGAAAATCCAAACTCTTTTGACCGTATTAGGGATTCCTGGACTTAGCTTTTTGCTCTCTGTGGTACCAGAAGAAGCGAAAATAGCTAATGAGATTCGACCTTCCCAACTGTTTGCCATTAACAATAAATTCTCTCCTGTTCAAATAGTATATGTAAAGAGACTTAGCTTCAGCTTGAAATGTCCTCACCAAAATAATTTGCAGATGTGTGTAATATCATGGGCAGCTTGAATGCTCTATACTGGGTTTTGTAAACATTGGCGTAGAGACAATAATTATTATAAGTTTGAGGCTTAAGAGTTATATTGAACTCCGGAAACAAGGGTATAGACGTATTTGAATATGATGTTGGTTCAAACTGTAACAGAACTGTAACTCAATAGCAATAACAAGTTTAACCTTTTCCACTTCATCTTCTTGTATCTGAGAGACTCTATTAGGAAATTTCTTGTAATCATCAAAGATATCCAAATGTGTCTCATTGAATTTGTCGGCAGTTGGCTGAAAAATACATTTTTAAGTTTGAAACATGTATAATTAAGGAGTTGTACCTGATAGTTGAGTTTCAAATTAGAAAACCGTAAGCAGGTGGCCAAGACGAAGAATATAAGAACAATCAAATGAGATATTTGTAATCGCATAATCTATAATGATAATTGATAAAAACATATAATTAATTATTATTTGTTTGTCTATGATTGATGCACTATGTAAGTTCATTGATGACATTCATTAATGAAGACAGAATGATGATGATGATGATGTTAATTGTAAATGGATAGAATGATAAAATGACATTAGTTTGCCTAATTGACATCGGAAAAGCCTAATTCCCTTTTTTCATGTTGGATATCATTACGTGGCTCAATCATTCGTTTTGTTTGATAACACCATCACACTAACTAACAGCAGGATTGTCAAACGTTTGCAGCCATTTCCTTGTTCATTAATATCTTCTTTTATATTATCCTTTTTCATATTGTCACTCATCACCAATCGCATTGATTCTATTGTTAAAGCTCAAAGCTAGAGATGAGAAATTTATTTTTTTGTCTTTATATAGATATAGATTTAGAAAGTGATAATCTTAAGATGTATCGCATTCTTTGAGTTGTCTTCTTTCAATGAGTTCCTGACGTTCAAATGCTTTTCTCTTATTTTGTGGACGGAAAAATGTTATGAAGAGCATAATTAAGAATACTACTATAGCTAGCCATGCTAAGAAGGCATCTGAAATAACAATATAATTATAGAATTAAATATATTTCGTCACTTACTTCTCCATTCAACTACAGAACTAATTTCTGTGTTAGACTCAACACATGTTTGAATACCAAGTGTATGCGGAGTTGCACTGGTTGTTAACAGAGATGTGATTGCGACAAAACCTATTCCTTCCAATTGTCTAAGATAATGATTGGAACATTGCATGTTTTCTAATTCGTTCTACCCTATGACCATTATTAAACCCGTAGCAGTTGCTTCGGCTACAGGGAATGATGTTTCCAATCCAGCCTCTAGTCCGAGAGGATAAATAGAGAATGCGAAAAACCCGAAAAGGCAGATTGATGAGGCAACCCATGCTTCTTGATGTTCATAATTGATAGCGATAGAGAGTGAAGCTGCTGCAATTCCTGCACACCCAAAGCACATTTTCATAATCTGTTGTTTTCCATTCGTTATCAATATTAAAGATCATTCTTACAAATTCCAATTGTCCAGTAGCTTCAGCTATTAACCCTGCCCCTGCAACTCCGAACAGACCTGCAACTATCAAAGCAGAGCCCATCAATCCATTGAAAACTGGTGAATAGCCCTAAACATGTTTACTTTTGTTTTATTTTCATGCATCGATGACTCTAACCTTGGCACATAAAGCTGGTTGCATCATATTGTAAAGAGCACTGAATGCACCGATTCCCCCACCTACAATGAAAAGCATTGTTTAATTTACTTCCTGCATCTAAACCGATTGTCACTGTCAGCAACATGAAATGCTTAGATTTGAAGCATTGTTTAAGGCCTTCCATAAAAGATGGAACATTATCATTCATTTGTTTAGATGGTGCTACAGGTGTTGGGGGCTCTGAGGTCGTAATAAAGAGCGAAAGCAGAGCAGTGATCGTTGCTCCAGCAAGACAAATGCCGTTCTGATAAGAAAGAGAATACATTATTGCCGACAAGGAAGTCGAAAGAATTTTAAATATAAAGGTTGATAGATAAGAAACTTACAAGAACAGTAAAATTATCCGGATGAGATTTGTTGACAAAAAGAGGTGCACATGAGAACATCAAAGCAATTCCGAGAGGGTTAGACATGCTAACACATGTATCAGCCAAAGTTCTTTGTTCTGGTTTGAACCAGTAACTTGCAATCTTTGTTGGTAAGAAGAGAATGAATGGTTGAGCAAAGGCAGCAATAGTTTGTCCAATGAATGCTACCATGAATCTATATATATATATATTCATATTTATATATATATTAATATTAATGTTGTATTGATAAACCTATTATGCTTTGGCATCCAGCTGCCCGATCCAGCGAAACGTATTACATTACCAAGAAAATTTGACCAAATTCCAACGTGATACTAAAAGATAAAAAAAAAGTTCAGATTATTGTATTGAAAGGCATTAACATTTGATGATTGATAAGAAAGCTTAAAGAATATTCAAACTGACTAACAGCTGTGAAAAGGCCGAATCTATCTGATGACCACATTGCCAATGGTCCAACAAATATGGATAAAAGCATGAAGATGGCATTAAACATAGTTGTTGCATTATCATTTCCATAATAATTGTTTGTATAGAAGGTTATACTGGCAAATGTGATCCATGTCTAAACCAATAAACGTCATTTGTCACTTTTAGGTAGCGGTTTTATGAAATGGTAAGAAAGAATGACGTTAGACGACGAAATGATGTCAGACTGATACCACTGTCATTAATTTTTTTTTTGATTGACATTTTGACTGTTTCGGCGTGATCAGTGGCTAACAAGCCACTTGAACAGGTTTACAGCGGTAAAAAAACGTAAACTAATGTCTGTAAAATCTTACATTTCCATTAGAAAAGTTGATTGCCATGCCAACAATCATATAGATCCATCTCTTGGCTGCAGCTTTATATACAGGTTGTGATTGGATTGATTCATCGTCTGTCATACCGAATCAAGCACTATAATAAATAATAATAAGTACAAAGATCATTATATACAATAGAAGATGTTAAAATGAATGTTAATTACATTTACCTAAATGTTTTATTTGTATTCAAATTGAATAGTTTATGTTAAATAGAGAAATTAAGGGAAAAAGCTGGTGAGGACTAGGTGAAAGTCTTAACTGGCTCCTATTTGATTCGAATCTTATCTCAATTTGATAACATAGTATTTCAAAGTGATAATAAAAAAAAAGGAAGAAATATAATATCTTAATAACAATTGACATACGTATTCATCATGACTTCTATGAGACATGGTGATGAGTGTAATTTCAATTGCCTTCAATCATTGAATGAAAGTAACATATGAATCAATTTTATAAAAAAAAAGAGAATCGGTCTACGTTTGTTACATAGCATAGCATTCAATATGGAATTGTAAATGAAATGATAACTGCACATGTTCGCGATATCAATCAATGATCGCTGTAAATGGCTAATTATTTCTGACCAAAGGAAGATATCTATCTATATAGATGTATCAATGAATATAGAAAGAGAGAGAGAATGAGATGTCTAAACAAATGAACTCATAATTCTTTTATTCCTTTGTTAGGCTTCTCCCTCTAGAAAGTATATGTGAAGCTGCATATATTTAACATTCTGCATGCTTATCTATGCGTTTCATCTGAGCCTTGTGCTCCAATATCAAGTACAAGATGTCAAAATGAGACACTTTGCTCATTCATGACAACTACAAAATATTTAGGCTGCTCTTTACTACTTCCTCAAATTATTCCACTTTTTCTTGTGCTCATCTTCTATTTCTCTTGTCCTATATGTTCATCTCCATCTCCCTTGTTTCAACCAGCCAATTCGTGTATATATAAGACGTTCATGTCTATATATATGTGTCTGTGTGTGTGTGTGTATATCTGCTTCCTCTTTTCTCTTCTTAATGCTCAAATGTGCTACAATGATAAATTTTTGAAGTCATTTTTCACTAATTATTCACAAAACAGCATAACTTTACCAACTATTCTTCTTGACGAATAGTAAATGGCCCAACTCAAGTGTGTTACTCAAATGTGTACTACATAATGCTATATTGGCCATCTTGTTGCCTTTTTTTCCTTCTTCTTCTTCTTCTACTCGCTTCAAAGACTGAAACTTTAAAAATAGAAATGCTATTTTATAATAATAATAAAGGATGAACAAGTAGAATAGAAGTTGCTGTTGCAACATACGAGACATACACATACAGATATAGACACACATCTAACCGAAAAGAGAGTTATAGAAAGAGAAAAATGAATCGAAAAAAAAATGAAATTGCTAATTTATCTTCATTTCCCTCTTTTCGTTTACGTTATTGTCGTTTTCGTCGTTTTTCCTTCTTTCCTTCTTCGTCGTCATCATGATGATCATGATGATGATCATCATCATTGTCGACGACAGACAACGACGACGACATCTTCTTCATGCATGTTCCGTCTTATTCTAGAGCAACATGTTGTTTCAATATGTTTCCTTTTTCTTCCACAATTTTCCGCAGTAAATGTTGTAACGAGTGAACGAATTGAATTAAAATGAATATTTGGACTCACAAAGACTCATTGATTCGGATAATCTGATTTATGCACTTTTCACATTCATCGTGATTTGATTTTTAAGCGTCTTTAAAAGATGAAAACGGACTACTTTTTACTTTTTCTTAGTTTTAGTGTTGGTGAATTTGTAGAAAATTGATTTCTTTTTTGGTCAAATCCGAAAGTAGACTTAATCAGTTTGAATTTGTCTTCGAAACACAGAAACATATTTCTCATCTTCTATTTCTCTTCTATTACATTATCTTTCATACTCTAACTATCTCTCCCTCTCTCTAAGTCTCTCTCTCTATCGCTTTCTTTTTTTTTCTTCCCAAATTCTTATTCTCTCTCTCTCTCTCTATCTTCCATTCTTTTAAAGTACGCTAAGAGAAGTATAACTGATTGGAGATAAATTTATGGCTCTCCCAGCTCTACAATATCCATATTTATATTTTCTTTCATCTATTTCAAATTTTCCCGCCAATTTGTCACGCGCTCTACTACTTTGATCTGTAGTTTGTCTTACTGTCTCTCCAATTTGCCTCATCACTCATTCACTTTTATCTTTTCACTCTCACTCTCTCTTCATTCATTTTTAAAAATAAAATGTGAGCTGATTGAACTATTTGCATAAAAAATCAGTTATATGAGAAATGACATTTTTGTCCATAAATCAGTGCTGTAGCTGGCAATTAGGATGAGCCGGTTTACTCGATTCTTCAAGTCAAGTTGCGAATAAATAGAATCTGAGCGGCGATGTAAAAATGAAATCAATCACTTTAGGACTGTGTTCCCCAAGGGAAAAGAATCCGCTCTGACTGAATCGAGACATTCAAATGAATGTATTGAGATGGGAGAAGCTTGACGTTTCACATGTGTGAGTCTGTCTGTTTTTAACAAAAGCTGATGTTGTGTTTATCCGATCACTAACACCTCCTTCTGGCTAACCAAGTCTCTTCCATCAATTTTCGCTTTTTTTCTTCTTCTCCTCCTACTCCTTTCAACTATTGTTGCGTTTTAAACTTCCATTTGCATTGGTGTATATTCCATTGGCCCCGAAAAAGTTTCGTTAAAAGATGTTCATGGGTTCGAGTGGAAGATAAGTGCAAAATGAGGAAAGAAATTAGAGTTTAAGCCATTCAGCCTGAGATTGAAATTTCGTTATCTTTAATTTATTTAATCGATCTTCAAATATAAACACAAAATGGCATAGATTGACGTTTTCACGGTGTGTGGCATGGTACATACATAGAACAATCCTTTCAATTCATCTATAAGATATAGATAGATAGATAGATATCTATGTGTTAGATTGTTTATTCATTGTTTAAAATACAAATATGGCTAACGATCAATTTTTCGGCTTGAATATGGATGCAAATTAAATGAAGTTTATGTAATAGAGTGAAAATATTATGCAAGTAGACTTTGTTATTACATTGATGTGTGTCCCGCTGTCCCTAAAGACCGTGCATTCTTATATCTCCTATTCAAATAGACACAGCTGGAAACCCACGCATCCAAGGCTTCCAAAGAAAAAAGGAAGGTCTTAAGCTGATCTTCACCGCTAGAAATTATTTTCTTCACATATACTCCTTATTTTTCATCAATACACTAACCCCACAATCATCAGACAACTAGCTTCACCATCAAAATCGGACCTTTGCCTTACTCTCTCTAATGATGATCGCGTTTCAAATAACAATTTTTCCTCATTTCCATCAATTTTCCAGTTTTTTTCTTTCATTAAGACTACCAATTTTCGTCAGAAGTTAGTTATTAATCATAAAGATGGGCTTGTAATAGCCATCTTAAGTGAATGAGACAAGTTGTAATAATGCCAATTAGAATGTGACTGACCCCAAAGTCTTCACTCGTAAATCATTCAAAATGATTACTCGTATTACTTTGCGGCCGAAATTCGAAGTTTCTTGGTTCACTCTCATCCACAACACCACTTTCTCTCACAATCGTATCCTCTTACATGTTCATTTTTTGGAATTTCATCTTTAAATGGTCAAAGAGAATCATTGAGCTTTATCTTTTTGATAGATGTCTTGTAAACTGATCGTTTAGTTAGAAGTTTGATTGAAAGACCTATTCATGTCGTTATCTGATTTACATTGCTTCATTCTCATTCTATTGTTTGAACCCTTGTTCTTCTTGAAAAAAACACGAAAAAAATCATTTTTGCTATTATTTTTATTTTTTTGAAGACGTCAATTCTTGTTTCTGTCTTACTTACTCTTTCTCTCTCTCTCTCTTCATCTCTCTCGCTTTCACTTCATCTGAAGAACAAGAGTAATCACTTTTATAATGCTTGGTGGATTTATTTGTGCATCAAATAGCATTAAGCAGTAACTTGTGCAGCGAAAGGCAGTAAGGTAGGGAAAAGGAAAGGAAAAAAGGGTGGGGGGTTTGAAATGGCCCAAAACATCCATTAGTAATAGAACAATTCGATTGGTTCCTTTGTATTTTTGACATGAATTTTAAAGCTCACTTCCTCATTTGTAAAATTCATTCGATAGATCTGTCATGTTTGCTGACATTTAGTGATATTTTCATGAGGTTTTAAGTTTTTTTCTTTTTTTTTTGTAAAATAACAAGAAGAAGTTATAGAGAGAGAGAGAGAGAGATGTATTAAGAAAGAGAGTAAGAGAGAGAGTGAATGTGATGAGGAAAACAAGATGAATAATAGCATTAAGTGTTTGAAGCTTTAAGAAAATCAAAATGTTTTCTTCGATTTCATTTATATATATTCGCTCATGTCATTTGATTTTTCCATTCACCTAACTCATTCATGCTTCTCATTTTATGGACTCAAATACTAAATATCTTGTCAATCTAAGTTTTTATTGTTCATATTCACATTTTTTATTTATTAACAGACACTGAAAGAGAGTTACACTATGTGTTTCACTAGCTCTAGCTAAACCTCCTGAAATTGTTACACTCGTTTATTTGAGATTTTATCCACACAAAGAGAGAGAGAGAGAGAGAGAGAGAGAGTGACTGCTGTTGAGAACTTTTGAAATTTTCTCTTGAAAATATGTTCTGTTCATCACTTTTTTTCTTTCTCTCTATTGTTTTGGCTCATCGTTCTTCATCTTCCTCTTCAAACTTGTTAATACATGTTATATATATATATATTTATGTATATTATACTATATCATATAGTTTATGTCCTTCTTCAAAACATATATCAAAAAAAGTGATGTAATGATAATGACAGATGTTGTCAAGTCATTCTCACTTCATTCACTCCCTCTCTCTATCTCTCTCTCTCTCTCTCTCATTCTCTTTGTGTTGCTTTTAAGCTCTTTCATTCTTACCGACATATTTTTATTATTCTTACATTTTAAAATCTTTTAATATGTTAATTATTTATATAATATAAATTAACTACTTAACTATATGTAAATATTGAATCATGAGGGGTTTTTTTCAGATACAAAATGGTTAACAACACATTGCCATCATGAAATATATTTTTTTACTAGTTATTAACATATTCATTTCGTTGTGTAAATCACATGACGATGATCGTGTGCCACTTTACATTGGCGGAACGTTTCCTATGGAAGCAGGCTCTGGTGGATGGGCTGGAGGAGTTGTATGTTTATAATAATATAATATATAATATATATTATATATGAACTTTCATATTATTGTCTTCTCTTATTGTAGGCATGTAAACCAGCTGTCATGATGGCATTACATGATGTTAATAAGCGACGTGATGTATTACCTGGATATTATCTTGAACTTAATAGTACTGATTCCAAAGTAATAGATATAGAGATATTTAATATTTATTAACTTATATCATATAATTTAGTGTCAACCTGGTTTAGCAACACAACAATTGTATGATCTATTGTATACTCCACCAGCAAAAGTTATGCTTTTGGTTGGTTGTAGTCCTGTCACAACAATTATAGCTGAAGCAGCTCCTGTTTGGAATTTAATAGTTGTAAGTTATAATGATAGACATAGTTAATGATAATCATATGAATAATTTATTCATTTCAGTTGGCATATGGTGCTAGTTCACCTGCATTATCTAATAGAGAACGATTTCCTACATTATTTCGAACCCATCCATCCGCTAATATACAGAATCCAGCTAGGTATGAATATAATATGTTAACTAGATTAATTATATGTATGTATATCAGAGTAAGCATATTAAAAAAGTTTGGATGGAAGAAAATAACAATATTACAATCAGTAGAAGAAGTATTCACTTCAACAGCCAAAGATTTGGAGGTTGAGATGATTGAAGATTCTGAAATGCATTATTGGATTTGTTTAGGAAGAATGCAAACTTAATGGAATCAAAGCAGACAGATTAAGCTTTTATGGCGATCCTACTGATGCAATAAAGACTCTCATTCGACAAGATGCTCGAATTATAGTTGGATTATTTTATGAAAAAGAAGCACGCAGAGTATTCTGTCAAGTAATCTATTATAGTATTGATATGATTAGATGTATAATTCCTTATCAAGGCATATCATCATCGAGCATTTGGAAGAAAGCATGTATGGCTTTTGATTGGATGGTATGCTGATACATGGTATTTACCAGTTCCTGATGAACATCTCAACTGTACAGCTGAGCAGGTGAGAAGATCTAACAACCTAATGATTCTATCTAATTTGATAGTCATTAAGAGAATCATTCAATAGTTGAAATGTGTTTTAATTTGAAATTTCCATTAAATAAGTTGTTTGAAGATGAGAGAAGCCGCATTATATCATATGACGACAGAAAGTTTAATGTTGTCGACAGATGATAGTGTGGCAATATCTGGCATGACTGGTAGAGAATTTCAACGACGATTGAATGAAGTATTAGAAACTGATCCAGCAAATACTGGTGGTTATCCAGAAGCACCATTAGCATATGATGCCGTATGGTAAATATAATATATATTATATATAACTATATGATATAATTAATATAATAATTCAGGGCATTGGCATTAGCACTTAATTGTACTATCAATCATTTACCTTCTACAAAGAAAATTGAACAATTTACTTATGAAGATGTTAGCACATATGAACTATTATTTCAATGTATGAAGAATACATCGTTTCGTGGAGTATCCGTAAGTCATATCTATATATTATATAGTTAATTATATAATTAAAGGGACGGGTTATGTTTTCAAATTCTGGTGATCGTATAGCTAAAGTAATGGTTGAACAATTACAGAAAGGTCTTTAACTATATAATATATTATATGATATATATATATATATATATATTTATAGATAGTAAATATCATGTGATGGGATTTTTTGATTCATCAACTCATTTATTAGATTGGAAAGGAGAAGATGAATGGCTTTCAGATAAAGGTCCTCCAGCCGATTCAACTATTATTCATGAGACAGTTCTTACTGTCACTAGTACGGTATATACATATATATTAATTATAATATATAATAATATATATGTTTATATAGTTATTTTATGGCGTTTTAATGTTTTGCATATTGGGAATAGGCATGTCAATTGCATTATTATCAGTAATAGAGCATAATTCAGGCAGAATGTAAGTATAGTTAATTCCCTCTTACATACTCATTGTATACTCTATCTTACATTATATTTCAATCATTTATAGGATTGTCAAATGTTCTCAGCCAAAGTTCAATAATTTTACAATTCTTGGATGCATTATATGTTGGATAACATTATTTTTTATTGGATTGCCATCAGAGCATATACCGGTATCTCATGAAAGCTTTACAGCTATGTGTCATGTATGTATTATTGAATATTATATTTGAATGACTATCATTATTACATTCTTTTTTATGTTTCAGTTTCGAATATTCACATTAATGGTTGGCTTTTCATTGGGCTTTGGTTCCATGTTTGCTAAAGTGTTCATTGCTCATCGAATGGGAGCTGATCAAAATCAACAATTGGCTAACCGAGAGAAGGAAGAGGTAAAACAAGATATCCATATATGTATATCTGATTGGATGGTACGAAATATGTGTAACTATACATTAGAGAATGATGATATAGTCAATAAGTTGAGAATATAATGAGTTGATGAGATGAAGAACAGTTTAGCATATTCTGTGCTGATAGGGGTCGACAGAGATTGAAGCACGTATCCTTCATTATTATACTTAACTATTCATGTAACCATATATTGACAGTCTATCAATGTATCTGGTATACATTACATAACTACAGGCGGATGGTACACCTTGGGAAAGTATTCGTACTTTGATCGCATCAATGATAGGACGATCAGCTGCCTCACTAAGAAAATCTTCTTTACATTCAGAGGGAGAAGTTCGGAACAATATATTGAATCAGGTTAAGCAAGTAATTGGTGTGCTTACTTGAGTGTCAAACTTCTACTGTAATTATTCTTTCTTACTTTTCAACGCTAACACTTCTACTCTGCTTTTAATCTTTCGTATATCGTCTTCTATCACGTCAATTTCGACATGTTTTCAATTTCAAATAACAGTTTGACTGTGTGAGTGTGAATCAACTCATCTCCGCAACACATATCGAGGAAGAAGTTGATTTTGAGTGTGTGTGTGTGTGCAGTGATTTATTCTAAACTTGGAAATCAACATGGAAATTCTGGGACAATGCTAACATAGGATTCATCACAGTAACATCTATCATGTGCAGCTTACTCTACAGTACTATACGCAAGAAAGCTTGTCATTCTTTGAATATCGTACTGCTGTTTATTTGCATGTTTGAAGCAGCATGGTTTTCCGTGTGACTTTCATTCATCATCTGAATGAAAACAACTTTTGCTATAATATTATTGATAATTAACTAATTTTATCATTTTTCCAGACTATTCCTGTGAACAAGTTTTATGCTGTATTAACAGCATTCATAGTATGTGATATCGTGATATGTGTCGTTTGGGTATTTTTTGATCCAATGGTTGTGGATGAGCAGCGTTATCCGCTACAGGTTACTGTATCATACAGTATAAATCATAACTGAACAAATTGTTTGTTTAGGAGCCTCCAGAAGGCTCAGATGATGATATTATGTTGCTTCCAAAATTAGAATATTGTAAAAGTGAAAATGAAGATGTATGGACAGGTAAGAGAGTATTTTCATCTATAAAATGATCTCAATTCATCTATTTACAGCTTTAATACTTGGTTACAAGTGTTTATTATTAATATTTGGCATTTTTCTATCATATGAATGTCGAAACATCAAACTACATCATATGAATGATATTCGTTTAATTGCTTTATCAATCTATAATGTAGCCATTCTTTCAATAATCACTGCTCCCATATCGGTATATCTCATTCGCAATCAGCCAAATGCGTCGTATGCTTTTATTTCCGTAACAGGTATAATTAATTATAATTATGTAATATATAATATAATGTATGTTATAGTTTTATTATGTACATATATTTCATTGGGTCTCATATTTATTCCTAAAATTCGCCATATCTATACAGTACCTCCCTCAGAAGAAGAAGTAAGACATACTATAATTATTATAACTATATTAATTATATAATTATTTAGATTCAAAATGGTGGCAATGGCGTGATGAAAGGTCTCACGAAACCTGAACAAAGGCGTTTTGAGCAACTTGTTGCTGAGAATGCCCAACTTCAGAAACAGATTGAAGAGGTATGTGTGTCATTATAACGGAGCAATGATCAAAAACATTTTTCAGAGAGAAAAAAGAATAACTCAATGTGCAATGCGTATTGAACTACTGCGAAAACGAAGCTCTCTACAATCTCAGTTCAACAACAACTCGTTTTCAATAAGTTTGCAAAAACCAAAAGAAAGAATCAAACTCATTTCGTTCGTGTTCAGACGATAACTCACCCAAGTGCAGAAAAGCCACGACAACAACGACAACAGCGTATATCGAGTTGGATAACTTGCGGCAGATAAGAGGCAAATATCTAATTAATGACAAACAATACATTACTAATAATGGCGTTTTCGATTCAGGAGACTATATGTCGATACGTGATGATGTTTCATCCTGCTCATCGGATGAAATAATACTTTGATAGACAACAAACACACATTTATCTTCTTCTTCTTCTTCTTCAACGCCATAGCTACTAATAATTAAAAACTAATAAATGACAACAAGATATAACCATATTGAGTTATTGACTAATAAAACATTTTTCTTTCTTTCTATCTTTTCTATCAAGCTTCTTGCTGTCAAATGTTATTGCATTGTGTGTCCCTAATGATCTTGTTTCGAAACAAGCAAGAAAGAAACATTTCTTATCTTTAAAAAGTTTTTTCTTATTTTCAGGCTTTAAGAAAATATTTTTTACGATTTATCCGCCTCCACCCTCTCCCCTTGTTAAGTTTTAGAGACTATTTGTTTCTCGGAACTAGATAGCAACATTTATCATGCCCACCCCTAAAGTGAAATCTCCCTTGAGATTATACTAGATATATCGTTTCGCCCATTTTGAAGTGTTTTCCTTCTTAATGCATATTGATTTCAGAAGAAAGAGCTCTTCTAGATGTATATCTTTCATATATTTCTATTCATCGATTTCAGTTTTAGCCTTTCACCCATCATAATCTCAGATATAATATGTATTTTAGCCTTTAATCATTACTGTATCAATGTGTGAGACAGAGATAATGAAATGAGATGAAGGAGAGAGAAAGAGATAGCTGAATAGAGAGGGGGATCAGAGAGCACCAACAATCTGCTAGTTAAGGATGCATGCTCTTTTCATTTCATTCTCCTTCAGCTCATATCATAAGAGTACTTTGATAGATCATGGCTGATGAGGAAAAGAACAAAAAAAGCTTTTTTAAGTGATTCATATGTAACAATATTGTATAATCGTGACAGAAATTAATATGAAAGACAAAAAATGAGGAAATTTCATGCATAGAAATGTGAGGAAGAAGAGTTTTCAGCTATCTTCCGTTTCAAAATGGAAATACAAGCCGACACACGATTTTTGTCTTGAGCAAATTCAGTAAAAGAGCCAAAAAAGAAGAGAAGCGAAAGAAAGACTGCTTAACGAGAGGAAATGAGAGAGAAAGAGAGAGTGAGAGAGAGAGAGAGAATGAGGAAAGGGAGTGAAAGAAGGAGAAAAAGAATCATATTTTATTATATTTAATGGAGTATAATATAACAATCTCTTGCTATGCAGGATACCATAGCATATACAAACTTTACTATTATTATTCATGTGAAGACGAGCAGAGACACAAGAAATGAGATTTATTTCATTCCATTCCTATCTTCACACCCTACTCTCATCCTCTCCTCCCCTTTCTTCGTTCTCTAACCATATCTCCAATATACGTATATTTATTGTTGCAAATTCCTTTTTAGTCTGTTACTTACATCTTATTTTGTTGGCCCCCCATCTCCATCCCACCCAGTAAGCGATGCCCCCGAAACAGAACCCAACAAGATGCATTATTTTATAAAATCAATGCATCTTTGTCCTCTCGTTTGAACTAACTTGTCTGATATATTGCTATCTAACTTCATATCTCATGCATTTGTATTGATCATTCTCTCTCTCTCTTTCTCTCCTTTCTTTCTTAACTTTATCTCTTTCTTCTTCTTTTTCCCTCTCTCTATCGTATTCTTCATTACTATACTTCTTTTTCTCTCTCTCTCTCTCTCTCTCTCTCTCTCTCTCTCTCTCTCTCTCTCTCTCTCTCTCTTTTTAAGAAGATGAAGCTTAAGCACAATTTTCTCTTTACATAATTATCGTTTTAGAATGTTTATGCCATTTGTCACTATTATTATTATTATTTACATAAACTAATGTCCTCTCTCTCATTTTAACCATTGATTTACAGCTTTATTTTTTCAATAACCATTGATGACCCAGCACCATATGTTAACTATATCCTTTCATCTTTCTTTTTTTTCTTCCTTCTTCATCATTCCATCTTCTCATTCGAACCATTCAAGTACAACAATAGCTTTCATCCCACATATACGACATTTAAAATATTAAATAGATAAAGAGAAAGAGTAATGAAGAGAGTAATAGAGCATAAGAGAAAGATTTTAGATATACTTACATATAACTCACTATCATCGATTAGATTCATATTGTTTTCAGCTTGTATATTCATGTTAGCTAGCATGAGAGAACTTTTTTTTCTTTTTTTTTTTATTTCATTCAAATGCCTTCATCTCTCTTTGTCTGAAAAAATGTGCTCATGATTTACTTATTCATGAATGGATAAATAGCCTTCACTCTCTACTAAATTCTCGCAACAAATGTATTTTCATTTTTATTCGCCTTCAAAACTAAACTACAAAGACTATTCTGTTTTCTTCTTCTTCTCTTATACATATTTTTATTGTTTATATATTCAAATCCAAATTTGGCGCGAAAAAATTGTATTTATAGACCTTTAATCTATCTGCCTCTCCCTCTACACTTTTCCATCATTAAAGAATTGTAACTGTGGGAAAAAAACTGACTTTTCTTATATAATCGATTGTCTGACTGTAATCCCTGTCCAATTCAACTAGACCATTTGACCTTGGACAGTTCGCTAATAGATATTTAAAAGTTTTTCATTGTTTTTTTTGTCTTTGAGCAATCGCCACTTGTCTCTCTGATCCCTATTTCTATTCTTCTATTTCTTCATTCCTTTTTTTGAATCTTTTTTGAATAGAAAAAAAATGTTTCTATTTCTTGTGTTAGTTGAAGGAAGTTCTTCTATTTTCTTCTATTTTGTTTTAAAAAACGAATTTCGTCTTTCATAACAACATATCAGAATGATGTTGAAGGTCGTTATAAACGAAAATGTCCAAATTTGGTAAAAAGTGAAGATGATTGGTGCTTACGAATTCACCACAAACACTCCTGTTCGTCTTGATGATAATCATTGTCAAGTAGTTCAAGATGTAGCATTGCTACGTTCCAGTCCTCCTTTATCTCCTTTTATTAAAGGTTTGAAGATGATTGAATTGAAAAGATTTTTATTATTTTTCCATTTATCTATTAGGAACTACAAATAGTGAAATCGTGACTGAACGATGTGTAATTGTCCAACGTAACAACGAAGGTTACGGCTTTACAGTAACCGGAGTTATTCCATTCTATGTTGATACAGTCAAGAAGAGTGGGCCAGCTTACTGTGCTGGTGTACGTGAAGGAGATCAGATCTTAAAAGTAATCTCAGATGATCAAAAAAAATTTTTACACATTAATTAATATTTGCAGGTTAATGGAATGCCTGTATCGAAAAGTAATCAGCTGGACGTTATCCGTATGATCTCAGGTCAGTTTCAATACATATTTGACTTTTCGTAGTTGAAAATCTATTTCTCTTCATCAATCTCAATTCCCCTACTGCCTCTCTTCATCTTTCAGAATATTTAATGTTATTTACAAGTCGCATAAAGCTATTCGTTTAAATAGTTGTATAGTTTCCATTTGATAAGTATATAAGCACGATTTTCGGTCTGCCCTTGAGCATCCCATCCATTCTTCTTTTGATTGCTTCTTTGAAGACATGGCAGCTTCCGCTCTATTCTATCTTTTTTCTTTCTGTTCCAGACGACACTATCTTATATTTTAAATGATGACATTGATTTTTTGTCAGAAAAAATTTTTTGATTATTTTCAACGACATCTATGTCAAGCAAGAGAGATAGGATATAGAGAGTTCATTGTAGTCATCCATTTGTTGGTTCTCTCATCTGATGAACTCTTTTTGCTGCTGCTCTTTCTCTTACCAGCTTTTTTTTGTTCCGATTTCCATTACTCTTCCATTCTCTCTCTTTCTTTCTTCTTAAAGTGCTCGTTGACATAATGTAATAGAAAAAAATGAACTCATTTCATAAATATAATTTATGCGGAGGAAGTAAAATGATGTTTAAGGGCAAAAAAAGAGAAAAGATAGAACGAATTGATGGATAGAGAGAGAGAGAGAGAGAGAGAGATAAAGAGAAAGATGAGAATATTTGATAGTTCATCTATACTTGCTTAGTCATATATAGCTTCAATCTATCATTTCAGGCGGTCAGAATGTTGTTTTAACTCTCTTAGGGAAAACCCCTAATTGTGCATTGTTAAATACAAGTGAACTAGCTGAAAGTTCAATCAATGTTGGCAGCCATCTAACTAAAATAGCCGATTCTGTCATTGGGGAAGAAGATAATCGCATTGAGCCAGGCCAATTGCAACATGTGAGTTGTCGTTTTTCGATTTTAATCATGTCAAAATTCAAATATTTTACATAATGAGCTTCAATCATTGGACATTTGTAAAATGTTTTATTTAGTTATCTAATGATTGGAAGAAGCAAAAAAGAGAAGATATAGACGTTTTTGATGATTCGACAAGAGAAAGCGGGGTATGTGTATTCATGATGCATTTATAATTTGCTTTTTCTGTTTTTTCATCTCTTCTTCTACTTCTTCCATCATTTTCCTTGTTATAAAAAAACAAATATATTTATTTTTTCGTATACTATATACTACTTATGCTAATTATATATTCAGAAACGTTTTGATCCAGTAAAACAACTAGGAGAATATTCCGAAATGAGTGATCGTATATGGACGGAGGTTAACTATATCTATGATATGACCCATAACATTGAATAGTTATTTCAGAAACATAATCTCGATCCATTTTCTAATCTTTCTTCGCTAAAAGCACATCCAGCCTATTTATCCGTATTTGTCAAATATCTTATCTCAAAGAAAAATCCAAGCAGTCTGGTTAGTCATCTTGTTGTCTCTACATATATCCATATATATCCATATATGAGAGTATATCAACCAAAACAAAAAGAAGGAGGAAAAAAAAAAGTTTTTTTTAAGGATATGAAAGTCATTTGACAACGATTGTGTTTATTTGAAAATCCGATTTTTGGCTAAAAATTTTTGAAGGCAATTTTGTGAGCAAAATTATTGGATAAACGGGATGGTAGAGAGAGGGTGGTGGGAAAGAAACATGAATATGATAAATTGTATCAAAAAATCTTTCTTACATTATATTATTGCGAAATAACTTAACAAATTCTATTTGGAACACAATCGATATGTATATATATATATATACATATGAACATATCTTTTTACAGTTTTATTATCTCATTACGGATGCCTATCAGAATATAGATGGCTCAAATCGTGATGTCAGACGATGGGCTTTCGAAATATTCACAACTTTTATTGTTCCTAATTCACCGTTATGCTTTCCTAATATTGATCAGAATATAATTCAACCAATTGACAAGGTAGATTTTCATCCAATCCATCTGCTTCATTTGATTCATATAGATTCTTGCTTTAACGATGGAACAAATTACGGATTCTGATATTATTTTACTTAAAAGGTCATTTGTACCTGGTCGACAGCGTGCTGTTCAGAATATTAATGAAGACTTACAAGCATTCAAAGATGTTCGACAAGCAGGTATCATTTTATATCATAAATCAATAATCAATTATCTATCTTCAATTAGAATTGGATTTAACAATGGATGCCAATCAACTGACTCTATTATTACGAGATTCTTCAGTAGATTCTCAGGTCATCATCGTGAATGTAATGGTTTTGTATGTGATTTCCTTTTTAGATCGGAGAACAGATTCTGATGCATCTCTTAGAAAATATGATTACGACTGATTTAGAAACAGCGAATACTAAGCACTTATCGATTGTAGCAAGTTTAGCCACATGCATAAGAGTGAGAATAATCTTTTTAAAGAGGATCCATCCATAATGTAATCTATTTAAGCTTATATTTGGTAAAGCATCAACAACTGCATGGGATAAACTTCTAGATAGATGTTCTCAGTTTTTGTATAAGGAAAAGAGTGGAAAAATTAAAAAACCTTTAGGAAATACACGAACGAAAGTACAAGTATAATAGATATATTATAATATTTATTATAATTATATATAAATTTAGATAAAAGGACATGTTTTTCAAATGCATACTGTTAATACAGTACACTATTGCTATCATTGTCGTGATGTCATATGGGGTATGCAGCCATGGATTTATTTTTGTACAAGTAATTAGATATAATCAATAATAATCTTATATTTTATATAATTAAGATTGTGATGTCAAAATTCATTTGGCTTGTTCTACTAGTCTCACCGATTCTTGTTATCCTGCATCACAGAAAAATAAAACGGCTAAGGTTATCAAAATATTGAGATTATGAGGAGTATCATGATTGTTATAGCAATCGAGAAAACCTGGCACGATAACAAAATCCGATTTGTCTGAAAGCGATTTACGTGTTGATTCATCTCGGACTACAATACCGGAGCAAAGTACAATATCTGAAAAAAACATTGTCAGTCGGTCACAGAGTGTCCGTGGACTAGCTGTATATTGAATTTTTTATAATAACTGTCTATATTTGTAATATTTAGATTTCATCCACTAAGCAAGTACCAGATAGATGTAAAAGAGAACAATCTTGGTGGGGGGCTGATTTATTGCCAGCTGACGTCAATGATTCTGATGAGATGGATACTGGATCTGAACCAAGGTCTTATTAAACTTTGAAATTATGTATGAGAATGAAGAACGTTCAGGGGGGCCATTGAAGTAATGAAAATGCCTATGGATCTAGAAAGCGTCAGTTCAAGTCTTTCTCACACTAGCACTACGGACATTGAAGTAAGAAAACTATTGATGCATCAGATTAAACGTTCAAAATGTGTTTTAGTTCCGAAAAATCGTCAAACGTATGCTAGAAGACAATGATTTGGACATGCTTGTAGAATCAGAAACTCCTCCCTTAGAAGTTTTACTGGGATGGGACGTGGTTAAACTATTAAAACCTAAAGAAAAGAAAAGACAAGATTTCATAAACGAGTTATTCCATACGGAAAGAACACATTTACGGAATCTTAAAATTCTTTGGAAAGTTTTCTATCGTCCCATGACATCTCAAAACATTATATCAGCGGAGTTAGCAAGGCTTTTATTCTCAAATCTAGAAGAAGTTATTCAAATTCATACAAGTATCAATGAAAAGATGATGGAAGCTGTAAATTTGGTAAGTTGCGTTGAAATTAACAGATGAAATTGATTTGTTATAGTTTAAACGAGACCATAACTTGAATGGGTTGTATGGATCTGTTGGTTCATTATTGGAAAGCATATTTGATGGAGATCATGGTGAACGGCTCACACAAGTGATAGCGTTTCTTATGAAACTAAGAAATATGAACAAATTTCCAGATAACGTCAGTCTTCTGTCAACATCAACAACATGCTCTACAGCTTCTTCGATCAAAACTAGAGTTTGTCTCAAGTGTTTGAGATGTTCTGACTATTAGTTTTCAGAAATAAAAAGGATAGGGAGGAGAAACTCATCAGATTTCTTATGGTTGCCGAATCGTTTAGTATATGTCGTAAACTACAATTACGAGATATGCTACCTGTAGAGATGCAACGCTTAGTCAAGTATCCTTTGTTGTTGGAAGGAATAGCGAAGTATACTCAAGAGCCTAGTGACGTTAGTATATAATGTGAATTAGCACATAGTTGAGCTGTTATTCTATTTAAGGAGTCGGATAGTATTCAAAATTCAATAAAAGCATCAAAAAAGGTTTTGATGGCTGTCAATACAGCTAAGCGAAATGCTGAGAATCTTCGACGTCTCCAAGAACTTCAGTCAAGAGTCGATACAACGCCATTTGATAAAGAATTTGGAAGTCATGACTATTCATATCTGGATCTCTCCAAGTATATTTACTTAACTGATAGAGTTTTATATTTCAAACTTCCAGGCATCAATTGGTTCACGAAGGTCCATTATCATGTCGTTTTAATAGAGGCAAAATAACAGAATTACATGTTGTCCTATTGGAAACAATGTTGGTAATGATGACGAGACATAGTGATGGAAACAAATTATTATTAAAAGTAAATCATTCATATGATTAGATAATACTAATTATACGTTATAGTTTTTGGAGCCTTCTAAAGAAACTAAATGGTCTCCTATTCTGCCTTTAGCACCTCTCATAGCTAAAGAGAAAGCCAATGATAAGAGATCCTTCTTTCTCATTCATAATAGTCAGTTTGGGGCCCAAATTTTTGAACTTGTGGCTCCAACGGCTACGGAAAGGAAAACATGGTTTCGTATTTTGTCCGAGCAGATTGAGCAAGATAAGAAGAACAGGCTGCTCACCGGAGAGTGAGTGGAAACATAAGTTTTACTAATGACTTATACTTTTCCAGTCAATATCTGTTCGATTTCGGCGTTCGTACTGCTCATATGGATGATTCCGAGAAAGTTCATGTGTTAACTCATCCTCAGTTAGTGAATGCTTCTGAGATTATTGTTCATCAACCAACCGCTCTGGAACATGCGGAGCCTGTTATGACAATCTCTGAAAAACTAAAAAGAAGTGATGAAGTGATCTTCCAAGTAATATATCATAAAGAGATTGCAAGGTTTCATCAAATTCATTTAAGGCTCTTTTCTCCAAACAAATGATTTTATCGCAAATGCTTCCTGGTGAACAACGTGGTAAAGTAGAAGAGCTAGAAAAGATAATTGATCAAATGAGTGGGTTATGTGTTGCTGACTTGAAACAAAAGAACGCCCGAGAACTGGCAATGCTGGCTATTGTACATGGCAATCGCTTATTAGATAGTATTAATAACGGTACAGACGATCATTTATATGACTAATAATATTTATACTATTTAGGTATTAATCAGTATAAAAAGAGATGCGGAGAGAACTTTGCTAGTCAACCAGACGAGCCATCAGTTTCTTGTTCAGAGGTTTTGATTTGAAAGATTTGAATGATAGTTTATTGAAAGATTATAGCTCACTGCCATAGCTGCTCCACTGATGAATCATTTGAAAGCTCTGATGCAAACAGTTCAGGATCAACAGAAAGAGATAACAACAATCAAACAACAGTTGCATCATTATAAGGTAAACTAGAACATGTGGCCATTTAACAAGAGAAAACTTTCAGGAGATAGCAGATAAGAGGACAAACGATCGCTCTATCAGTGAAGAAACTCTGATTGATTTTAATCAAACGGGGTAGCACCATGATGTAGCTTGATTGTGTTGCCTACCTGAACATCAACAACCCATTCGTACACATTACTAGGACATTTCATTCAAATAAGGTTCAAAACATTATTCTCATGGAAATACCTTCTATTTGGAGAAGAAAATCAAACTGTACAGCATTCTTTATCGTTTTTTTTTGGCTGGTTTTAAGTAGTAAAAGCTATAGTATGAATAAGAGCACAGAAAGTTTTCATTTGAATTTTCATTTGTAAAATATGAATTGAAATAAAACCAAATAATGTTCTGCTTGTAAATAGATTTTCATATAGATTTTCATTATTTGCTCCATACTTAAGCTTTACATCGTTAGATTAGTTAATGTTATCCTTAATATATATATAAATTTATAAAAATGTATACATATTTTTCTCAATTGTGTGTATAATAAATGCTTTGTTTTCTCTCTCTCTCTCTCTTCCTTCCACATATAAGGATGTACGAAGAGTTATCAAATCTATAACAGAAAGACAAGAAATGTACAAGGATAATATTTAATAACATGAAAATCAAAATTGAACTTGCATATATGGAATATAAATACTTTCGAATTTCTCATCATGGTCATATTACCGTAATACTCAAAATTTCAAAATTACGTCGTCGACACAAAAATGCCATTCTGTTGGCGAATTTTTCAAAAAAAAGTGCCAGCCAAAGTGGCGTTATTTATTCAAATTCAAATTCAAATTTGATTTGACTGTTTAGATATTATTTCAAACCTTTGCTGTATTTGAGCGATTATATAATATGTTAATGATTGGTTTTGTTTCAAATCTCCTCACAGATTATGGTTGTCTGATGTGAATTACCAGCCGAGTGCTGAACCAGTCGGCTTCCTGTGTTATCGTTTTTCCATTTTCATCCCTTATTTTTTATGATTCTCTACATCAGTTCCATCTCATTTCTCTCAAATGTTTCATTTTTGATCCACTCTGATTCGGTTTTCTTAAGTTCTTTCAGTTTTACATACTATGACTGCTCCCTTTGATGGCTGCCCCTTTTTTTGCTCCGAACGTAAGCATCAAGCTTTAGCTAATCCTGTAAGTGATTTTTCAACGATTTTTTGTTTATTCAGTTGTATTATGACAGAAGTTGACTGCCCTTGATTTTTCTTATGTTTGTCAAAGATATTATAAATATGGTTGGATGAGAGGTTGTGGAGGAGCAATGGCATGCTTACAAGGTAACATCCTTTTTGTCACTCCTGAAGATGTGCAAAAAGACAGGCTGACACCGTAAGTTACTTAAGTGTATCCTTATCATATAAATTTCTTGTAGAAAGCAAATATTCATTTTGAACGTTGAGACGAAAATCCTTGAACAATCTCCACCAGAGCTTCAACCAACATTAAGCTGTCCTATTTTCACTGCCTTGATGCTGGCAACTAGTAAGTACAATATTTCTTCGTCTTATTTTATTTTGTTGCTCAGGATGTGCTACTGTAATTCATACCAACAGCCCTGTTGCTCGAGCAATCTGCCGGTTGAGCAAGAAACCATACTTCGAAATTTCTCACAGAGAGCATCTGTCACGTTAGTTTTTACATGTCGTTATTCTGTTCTATGTTTTCATCCAGAAGTCCCTTTTCCTGTTTACGACAATTTACTTTCTAATACGAACACAATGAAAATACCAATTATTGAAAATCAGGCTACAGAAGATGAATTAGCTGTAAGTTATTGTTTTTCATATTTCTCATCAATTGATATGCTTATAGAAAGAAATCAACAGAATTGTAAACATGGGTCTTACCACTGATGGAGTTTTAGTGAGAAATAACGGTCTGATTGTTTGGGGATCAACATGGGAAGAAACTGAATTTTTGTTAGTTTATCTTATGCTTCATCTACTTATAATAACATTATAGGGCAAAAAGTTTTGACCGATTATTTAGAATAGCATTGACATTGTCTAGGCAAGGCAAGCCCTGGGTTGTTAATAATACTCACTTAAGAGACCAACCAATGGAATATCGAGAAATGAATAATAATACCATTTAATTGGACTGTTCCAATTTACTTCATACTTGTTAGTTTAGAACTATTACAGTGAGTGCTAATATAATATGTTTAATCATTCTTAATAAATATATTCATATATTAAGTATTCTTTTGGACAATGGGAATCTTATACATACTCCAAACTTCCAAATATAGTGTACAATGGTTTGCTCTATCAGTAAAGAGAGTCTCATCAATTGTAACCAATCAAGATAGTCATAATGTAGTTCAACTGTATCCATCTACCCACTTTCTTGCAACAAAAAATGATTGCATCAAGTTTACACCATTTCTTATCATATTATTATATGGTATTCGATAGTTAAATCTATAATGATAATAGAAAAGCGGAAAACTCTGAATAATCAGAACCATACACACCCATTCTTTATATGCTTTTTCATTCTATCTATAGATACTTGTCACGTTCGCATGTTCTTATGACGTCAAGTTGTGTCTTGATCTTTGTCATTTCCATCTACCCAATATCTTATACAAACATGAACTTTCATAGATTATAATACGAGTGCAGATGACAGCAATTCTGATACGAAAGTAACATCTTGTTTTCTTCAGTTTATACAAGAGAAACCCTCAAATACTTGTAGTTTGTTTATTTTGAGAGATCAAAATGTATTCATTTAACTCTGATGTTGAGATCATTATTACCGTAATACTATTTTTTTTCAAAATTGCGTCGACAGAAAAATAACGTCATTTTGGTGTATTTTTTAAAAAAAGGTACGCAGTTGTTTTTTGCGCCAGTTGAACTGGCGTTGTTTATTATTGCCTTCCTGGGTACGCTGTCTGGTTGTGATTTTTATTTCACTTCATTTTTCTGTTATCTTCATGTACTTGACTTGGATAACTCGCTAGTCTAATGTAAACCATATTCTAAGATAGGTTGTGAGGTTATGTGATATCTCTTCAGCTTACTTTGATTTTTTTTTGAGAGCAAGTTTGCAATGCAGTCAAATGTGTTGCTGATGTTATATCTTTTGTGTTTCAACTGTGTTTTCTGTAATCTTTACATATTCTCTTGAAGAATCTTTGATAGTCTTTTATGGAATGTTAGTTTATGAATTCAATTTTCAAACTTTGATATTCATGCCTCATGATTTATCACTTGAATTCATTTTTTTGTCGTATAGGTTCTTATGACATTCCTAACAAGTATCAATATGTTGTCAACTTTCATTCAAATGAATCCTCATCCATTGCAATTTCACTGTTGTAAATAGTTCTGTTGCGATTATTCTTTCCAATTCTCTCACTTCGGCTTCATTAGTCTGATTTGTTCTCTGCACAAGTTTTTAGTTTGTTACAAAATGATTATTTTAGTATTTCAATTCATCCATTCATTTTTCATTTCAAAATGGTCGATTTCTGTTCTGACGTAAACTTCGCCAACGTTGTAGATGTTCCCGACTACTCAATTGAAGTATGTTTATTTTCATATTAAGAAACTTATATTGTTGTTTAGGAGCTTACACCTTTCGTTTTGGCTGAATGGATTAGAACGTTTTATGAAACTAAATGGATATTTTCAACGAATGGAGCTATAGGAACAATTCAAAGCGGTTTTCTGTTTCTAACTCCTGCCAATATCGCCGGGAATAATATCGAAAAGTAAGAATTACGTTAATTCCTTATATTGTTTTCCTTATAGAGACACTAACTTTGTCTATGATGTCACCACCAAAGATCTTTTATTCGAACCAGCGAACAGCCAGTTGACTCCATGTGCCACTGTGATTGCCTACTTATTACAACTAACAAGTGAGACCTTTAAACTATATTACATATATGTACATCATGATTCAGGATGTTCTACTGTCATTCACACTTGCAGCGAAGCGTCAATTGAAGTAACTAGGATGCAAGAGGGCAATTTCGTCTTGCAGGTCAGCGGGAATGAATGTATAAAAGGTATGTCCTTAAGACTTCATTTATGACAATCTCATATCTCATGTTGTAGGAGTTTGGGATTTTTACAAGAACGCTCATTATGTAATCAATGATACCTTATGTATTCCAATTATCGAGAACGAACGGAATGAAGAGGAACTATTGGTAAGTCACAGCCAACCAAACTTTACTCTATAAATGTATTTCAGAAGTCTCTCAAGACATTGTTCGAATATCCCATTCCCAGCTGTGCTGTACTTATCAGAGGTCGTGGTCTTTATGTTTGGGGACCAAGTTGGGAATTAGCTAAAACTTCGTATGTTCTGTTTCTCATTCATGAAATCAAATTGCTTTTTCTTTTAGATGTGAAAATATTGAGAATATATTAGAAGAAGAGTTTTTAACGCTATCACTAATTCTCTAGATAGTTAAACATGACAACTTATTATAGCTGGAGTTCTATACCACTTTTCTGACTTACAAATGATCTTGGCAAACAATGACAGACGTGCAAACATATTTCAACCGTGGTTCACTTTGTTCATGGCCAATCTATGGCAGCAGCCACCGTCTGTTGTTTGAGTTTTATTTTTTTTGGTCTTTCAATTAGTATTTATTAGTAATAGATAGTTTTTTATATAATATAATTTCAATAAAACATTTTAGAAATTCATTTGTGGAACATAAGAATGAAAACCCAACCGCTCACTATTACTCATCACTTACTGGCTATTCTTACTATTCTATTCTTTCATCGATTCAATGGGGGGGACATCAGCTATATTCTTCTAAAATATTTTAATGTTTTCGTTTATTTTTTTTCCCATTTCCTCTTCTCTCCGCCCATTCGCAGTTTAGCCATTCACCTTGCGATATAGGTCTGTTTCATTGGGTCAGGTTCTCTTAGCGCATGACCTTTCCATCATCTTCGTTGACCGAGTTTCTTTTTTTTTCCTATGTTATTCGCGGACGCCTGTTTTATGATTTTCTCAGTTGATATTATTTTGTCAACCCTCACATACATTAATCAATGTTTTTCATTTCTTATCTGCAATCGTTTTCGATATACTTATGAGAAAATAACAAAAACTTTGTTCATTTAGCACTCTATGTCTGTGCGGAATCCTTCTAATCGTAATGTTCCGATACTCATATCAGCTTTGATTCTTGACCTTCTCGCATTTACATGCATTTTGCCGTTACTGCCATCAATACTTGCATACTATTCGCAAGCATTAGAGAAGGTTCCACTCACATACTGTTTATATGATTTGAAATTTATATTTTAGGATTCGCTGTATAATACTCTGACAGCAGGAGTCAGAAGTTTTCAATTAGCTATTAAAGCTCCTGTTACAGAGCGTTTTAACTATGTTTTCTTTGGAGGTGAGTCAGCATATGAAACAACGATGAATAGTTTCATTTATAGGCATTCTTGGCTCAATATTTTCTTTTTTGCAATTCGTTTCATCGCCCACGATAGGAGTACTTTCTGATAAATATGGTAGAAAGCCTATGCTCATTCTCTCCTGCACCGGGAGTGTTTTGTGCTATTTGGTTAGTTGTTCAAATACTTTTCAATATTTCAACTGTTTCTCTTTTTTTTTTTCCAAAACTTTTTGTTCTTTTGTAGATATGGATGTATTCAAACAATTTTACACTTTTCCTCATTTCTCGTGTCATTGGGGGATTAAGTAAATCATGTACAAATGTAGTTACTGCAATGATCGGCGATATTTATGAAGGAGATAAGAATCCCAAGGGAATGGTATATTCATCCATGTTCTTATCTTGTTATACCTTTTCTCAGGCTTTAATAGGTATTTCTTATTCAATTGGTTTTCTCATTGGCCCAATGATAGGAGCATATTTTTCAACTTTAGCAAAAAACGTAATGTTTATCTAATCAATAATGTATTGAGTGTCGAACTTTTAGGAATTCTTTTTTACTGTTCCTGCCAAATTTTCAATTTGCTTATCAATCTTGGAACTTTTACTTTTCACTCAAATAAGTGAAACTGCTATTGTAACGAAGGAGGTTAGTATCTCATTTGATTATAATTAATTAATTCTTAAAGAGTAAAGAGAAGGTTGTGTTCAAAGATGCTATTCAATTGATAAATCCACTCTCTTTGTTTCAATTCAAAGCCGTTTCAGTTTCTGATCAAAGTAAGATCATTAACCTTTTCTATTTTCTCATTAATTGCTTTTTACAGAGAAAGCACACATGGAACAGTATGGAATTGTATATTTTCTCTTCTTATTCTTCTATTCCGGTCTTGAATTCACTTTGCCGTTCCTTACACATGCCCGGTTCAATTATACGAGGTAAATGTTCTGATAAATTATTATATTGATTGAATTAATTTTTAGTGTTGATCAGGGAAAACTATATCTCTTTACGGGTTTGCTCATGTTATTGATTCAAGGTGGTGTAACTAGAAGAGTTCCATTGCAAAAGTGAATTTCAATATCTAAAACTATGTTAATAATGCGTTTTAGACAGAAAAAATTGGCTCAGTTTGGTATTATCACTGCAGTTCCTGGCTTTTATCTGATTGCATTTGCTGAATCTATTTTTATGTTGTACACCGGGCTGGTCTTCTTTGCTATAAGTATTCATACATATTCTCAAACAATATTCTGATTCTACATGTTTTTCAGCTTCTGCAACTGTTGTTCCAGCTCTAACATCTTGTTTATCTGATATCAATGGTTTAGCGCAAAGAGGAGCTACCATTGGAGTGTTCCGAAGTATAGGCTCTTTAGCCCGTGCCGTTGGTCCGATTGTCGCCTCTTCGAGTTTGTTCATTTACGTATAAACTCATATCGCTTCCTTATTTCAGTTTTCTGGCATTTCGGGCCAACATGCAGCTATGTTCTCGGAGGTACCGCCTTCTTTTTGCCAACCTATTTACTCCATAAGTGCTTAACTCCTAAAGGAGAAACGAAAGCAGAATAAAGGATCTAAGAGCAGATTATTTGAAATAAGTCTATTTTATAATTTTTTTCACTTTTCAAACTATTCCATATCACATCGAGTGATTCTATTTATTGATCTAAAGCATATTGATAATGAGCATATGTAGATATTTATGATATTCCTTTATAATCATCTCTATTCTATCTCTATCCCGGCTTAACTATTCATCATGAAAATTGTGGAGAAGTTGAACTATTGCAGTTCTTGAGAACGAAAACGTTTTCTTTTTCAATTTAACCATCGAATAAATGCCTTGAAATTAAGTTTGAATTAGATTACACGAAAATCAATTAAATGCTTTCTTGGTTCCATCTCAACTTTCCTTTCAAGTGTTCCAAACTTTTACATCCACAATCATGTAAAGCTTTATTAAAGCTTAGATGGACTTGTACCTTTTCTTATAACTTTCTGTTTACTTGGTTAAGTTTAGAATTGAGAGAGATTGATTATAGCTTGGATGCGGTCACAGAGTGTGGCTGTAAAGATGCAGCCAACCTCTTGGGCTAATTTCTTCACCAATATGCCACATATTTCGTTTCAATTGAAGGCTGTGAAGAATTCATTCAATTTAGATCTGAATGGAGAGTACATTGAGGTAATGAAATTATAATTCATTCATTCTTAAGTTCTCTTTCAATTGTTTTGTTTTCAGAGCCTTTGTGTGCTTATTATTGCTTGCTTGGTTATTAATATGATGCTTACTTCAACCATTATCACTGCATGGATTTGTCAATGCTGTCTAGCAGAACCGGTAATTGTGAGAGATGAGAAAACTGTTCGACGAACATCTACAACATTATTAGTATTCAGTGTTTTAACCTGGTTAGATAGATCGGACACTTGTTCTCATTCATGTCCCTCTCATTACAGCTTTTTGCTTTTGTTTGTACTTCTTGGAAATGAACAGATGAACAGAGGTATCGTCTCGTCAATCGATAGTATGGTAGACGTTCATCGTCATATTAATATAGTTAGCCGAGAGGTAATAGAGTTGGCGACAGCAATCTCATTACATATTCATGTGACAGACAGAAAAGTTGAACGATACATGTCAAAACTCCACTGTACACTTCGATACATTGACCAATTGGATGAACCGCTTGAGTAGGGACATGGAAAAATCAAAAAAGCCAATAAATCGAACGGTTCTCACATAAATCATTTAATAGAATAATTAATACCTTCCATAGGTTTTCAACGAAGTGAATATAGTGATGAGCTCTCTAAAAACTTATATAGGACAATCTATTGAGGGAATTAATGCCTTACATGTTTATATGAAAGATAGTTCAATTCTACAACAATCATCAATCTATGGATCGAGAATAGAGCATGAAAGGTCTTTTTATTTATAATGGTTCATTTGAAACTCTTTTCTGTATAAGATGGACAACAATGATTCTTCTACAACTAATTTCTATTGCCGTGTTAGTTATTGGAGTTTATGCATTCAGCCGAATCTCTAGAAGAGCAATTATATTTTATGCTTCAATGGGTTTCGTCATATTTATACTCATATGGTGTTTGATTGCTATTCTTATAGCCTCTACCGTAGTAAGTTTTCTTACTTTTTTTTAATGCTCAAAGTCCACAAACTTAGAGTGCGCAAAAAAAAGCTCTTTAAATTACTTAAATTGGAAGCTGATTGATTGCTCAACAAAGCCAATTTTCAATTTTCAGGCACTAAGTGATTTTTGCCTAAACGGCCAGGGCTACATCCATTCTCAAATAACTCAATCTCTCTATGAGCTTCTTCACTACTATAAGGATTGCTCCACTAGCATTCAAAAGCCAATTACTCCATATTTTCTGAATGTTCCGCGCATTATCAATTTTTTGATGAAAATGCTGAGTGCAGCAACTAAAGCCAATAGCTTACTCAAGCACGCATATCATAATGATTATACAGTATCTCAGATGATACATATTGATTTTCTTTCAAATGTATAATTATAGATTAATAATTTTTCTGCAACCATTGTGGAAGATGCATCTAAGGCCATACGAAGTTTCGGTTCCGTCGAAGTTCAGTTAGATTGTAACATCTATCAGAAAGACATTTACCTGATGTACAAAGGAACATGTGATCAAGCACTGTTCGAGAACAATAGAAATAAAGAAACAGAAAATTTTTTTTTCAGTTATGGTTCTGCTGTAATGACTGTTTCATCCGTTATACTGGGTGTCATGTTTTTTGGGATTCTCATGGTGATTCCACGCACATGGTACATTTTCCGAAAATAGTGCGTTCGAAAGTGATAGATCGATTAAAAACATATTTTCCAGCGATAACTTTGGACGAATATCTTGTCTTCATAAGAAAAGTGCAAGTAGAACTAGCTTGGATGATCTTCAGCTCTCAACGCTAGAGGAAGCCATTGGTGATGCTGTAGACTTGGATGACAACGTATTCCCGTAATAATTATATTCATCAATCCCCCTATACCCAAATCAGAAAACATGAATACATAATTACAAGTTTATTTTACAGTTGCGAGAGGGAAGCTAGCTCGAATGATGTTGATCTTCAAAGTTTACAATCTGATTAAGCTAATTGAACATCTTTGTCTAATTCATACAAAAAAACTAGAATCTTCAGTAGTTCCTTGTTCAAGAATCACTTTTAGATTTTAATTTATTACACTTTCAATTGATAAGATAATCATTATACTTGATACTAACTATAATTAATCAATTGTTCCCACCTTCCAGCATTGGTAACAATTTTCCATCATCGTCCATGGCCTTGATTTCATCATGACCTCCGATAAATTTACCAACAATATAGAGCTGCGGAACAGTTGATCGTCCTGATAATGTTTTCAAAAAGCGCTGCAATAGAGGAACGGCTCATAATTGAATTGGACAACTCAATAGATATGTTATATGGGGGACTGGACATGAATGATTCACACGAATAATCACCTGTATCTCAGACATATTCTCTACTTTATCCAATTCAACTACTTTTAAGTCTTTGATCTCAAATTTTGATAATATTCTTCTCAATTTAATACTATAGGGACAATATGTTTTGCTATACAGCATAACCTGCAATAAGATATGTGTATAATGCCTATATATATGTAGTTTGTATTACTGAATGAGTTCGTAAGTCTTCAATAACTGTATTGATTGATTCCTCAATTGTCTTTGATTGATAACGTCTAGTTGTAGTTTTAACCTGTAGCAAAATAAGAAATTGTTTATTATTTATATATTCCATCTAAAATAATGTTAAACAACTTACATTACTATAGCAGACATGAATGAGAATCAGTAAAATGATTATCTTCATTCTTCTTCTTTATATGGATTATCTATAATAATTATATTGTTATAATATATATATATAAGATGTAATTGAAATGGAAAAATGTAATAAGGTTGATTGGTTATGAATGAGAAACGTTCAAAACTACCATTAATTGTAGACTAACTGATTCCATTTTCTCGAATGGTCACGGTCAACTCTCTTCTCTTGGTCGTCTTGGTCTATCTGATTGTTTGATCGATCTTCTTTTTTTTTCTTTTTTTTTCCCATATTTAACATAATACTATTTCTTGTCTATTATAGATTGTCGTTGTCTCTAACTTCTATTGTCTTGTAGTAATATCATCAATCTAGATTATATATTATTATATTATATTTTATACTCTCTAATTATCTATATAGATAGATGTAGAGTATAAGACATATTGTATGAAGGTCAGTATGTGTCATTCTATGAGAAACACTTTCATCTTACCTCTTAAGATGCTTCATTAGATAACATGTGAGAAGAAACAAAAATTAAAATTAACAAGATAATTGAGTTGTAATTGAAAAGCATTTGAAATCTGAATCATATACCCCTCTACCTTCATATGTGCCATATTTGAATTTAATCCTATAATGGCGTCATTTTGTACTTTTTGACTTATAGCAAATCTGACCTAATGCTAACTGACCCAAAGTCAATTTCCGCCAAATCTGAAAAAAACAGAAAAGATTTTGGCGCCTGTTTGTCATTCAAAGAAGATTAATGAGTGTAATAATAAGTTAAAACATTGTTATTGTTATTGTTTATGTCATATAGTTAATGGATTATTTTTGTTTCATTATTTAGACAATAGATAGGAATGGAAAGAAAATGTATGTCAAGACTTGCAAACTATTTAGCCATAATAACATTGGATGAGTCACAATTAAGTATTATTCATTATTTATATTGATTAAGATTATTTATAATTATTAATAGGGCATGGAAGCAGTGCTGGCATAGTTAAAGAACGTTTTCCTAAAGATGAATGGAGTGATGCACCATTTCCTCAAAACATGCAAATGGTTTGTCGAATTAGTATTCATTAATCATATTTTGAAATTGTTTCAGTTTTGTTTACCGCATGGCTGGACTATAGTTGCGGAAAAAAGAAATCCTATGTTCTTTGTTACAACATTAACTGATTTGTCTGGTGCTCATCAATTTCTATTCTGTCTTCAAGTATGTTTATCTCTATATATGATTAATAATAATATGAATATATATTTAAGACATATGAAGCAATGGAAGTGACATCTGATGATGATGATGATAATATTAAACCTAATGGAGAGAATATGCTTCAAGTATATAAGCCTGTTGTTATTGCATTCATTTCTAGTTATCCTTTTGTTGAATTTTTTAGAGTAAGTCATTCAATATACAATAAATACATATAATAATTTTTATTTTAGACTGTTCTTTCGAAAATTCTCACTTACGAAGAGAATAAATGCGATGTTGAAAGATTGATAACCGATGTAATTGGTAATATAGTTGTAAACAATAGGTATTATTTATATTGTATAATATTGTATATCATATATATTTCAGCTTCCGCACAATATACTTAGAAAGACAATCTATATCAGTATGGGCACCGAAAGAACCTACGTTACAGATAACAACATCCCGAGTCTATCTTCTAGTCAAATACCTAGGTAAAGAACTTGTTTCCTATCTTTTTATAAATTCGTTCAGGTTCAATTCATAATCTCATTCTTCTGTTCCGTTGTCTCATGTCTGAGCAGAACATAGTTTTTCATAGTTGTTCTCTAAATCGCTTATTTAATGCTACATATGCCTTACAAACTCTTTTATATCCTTTAGAATATGCGTAAGCAACTCTTTCATATAATGCGTATTTGATGATTGTTAATTTAGACATACACTAGTATCAATCTTGCCAGAGTCGCTCATTGATTATCTTGAAAGCCCTACACCTTTTTTGATGGGCATTTTAACATCATCTTTGCCCAAAGTAAGTGTATATTTCTTTGGTTCTCTCTTCACTCTCCATTTCAGATTCCTTCTGTGGAATGTGCATTAATCGATCTTGATCAAGGAGAATTTAAAATTTCACCAGAGTTAACTGTTCCCGAAATCCCTGAACCTTACAATGGACGATTAATCGAAAGGCTGAAGCTGGTTTGTTTACCAACGGTACCAAAACATTGCTAACAAAGTTTTTCAAAAGGTTCTTTATGGTGATGTACAACAAGAAGATAATATAGTTCAAGATTCGCAAAGTACAGTCGGCGATGATTTTGATAAAGTTTAATTAATTCTCAAAAGTCTGATAATTTTATTTTCATTCAGGACAAGAAAATCAGAGCATGCTTTTTGTTATTTTTCGTTGAGTTTCTTCGCGGGTATCGAACGTGCTTGGAAGTCGTTCGTTTATACGAAAAACCCTTTATTGTGTTTCATCAAGCTGCTTTTTTAGGACTGAGGTATGAGAAGAGTACAAATCATTCGATTTCTATGAAGAGCTTTTTTTCAGACAGTTATTCGATCCATTTTCGAAATATGTGACTAGTTGCCAAATGTTCCAAGTGTTCATATCAAATAGAGGATTGCCTTACAGAGAGTCTGATTATTTTGACAAAGTGAGAAACATATTAATGTTTATTAATATTCGTTTCAGCTGATGTTCAAACATCCAAACGATGCGACCGGATCGTGTGTCGATAAAAGTTTATTGGAGGAGATCGTAACGATTTCAAACTATTTGGAGCAAAACGTTGAGCACTCAAGTTATTCATAGATATCATATCAGTTTTTTTAAGGAGAAACAATGTTGCGTCTTACCTGATACTAACTGGGTGGCTAAGCCGAAAGTTGTCGACCAATTGAAAACAGACGATCTGCTACTTCATTTGAAAAAAGTAGGCAGTTTAATCTAAAAGCTTACGCAATGCTTATTCTGCAGGTAGATCAGATGATTCAAGATTCTGCTAGAAGTAGATCAGCAACTCCAGAGTCCAGTGCTAAAATAATGATTAAAGAAAGAGAAAATTGCTGGAACAACACAGCTTTCATAAATCATAGACGTTTAGTTGTGTTGGAGAAGTGTGTACAAGCCATCTTCGATAAGAAAGTGGCTGATGCTAGTAAGGTATTATAAACAGATAATAATGTTAACAACTATCAAATCGTTTTCGCAGATGATTTTGGCTGCGGAGTTTTCCCTTAAGATTCCGGAAGCTCGGATTTTTTTGTGTCGGTCTTTGGAGCAGTTTGCAATTCCTGTATCGAAAGCAACGTTATCTGCCGATCAGTTTGAACTTGTTGTTCGATTATTAAACTTCTCGCTAGATGTATGTAGAGCAAAAGATGGAGAATATTAATCTCTTTTTTTGAAGCAAGAATCAACTGATGATGAATATGGCGTTGCATACGCATGTGTACGTCTCAGTTTCTTGTTTTGTAAGGTTAGTACTTCGAGTAACTTCATTGCTACAATATTTTTTTCAGGTGATCTCTCAAGGAGTTTTTCAGTTTGTGTACACGTGCATTCAAAATCATCCAGTATGGAAGTGTCCAAAGTTTTGGGAAACATGTTTCTATCATGATGTTCACTTGATCATCGAAAAACATTATGATTGCGGAACAGAAGCAAAGAATCAGATTATTGTAAGTGCGTAGAAGTATTTGAGGATACAACGAAATGATACAGAGTGAGAAGAACTTGTGGAACTTGATGAACGAGAACAGCAGTTTAATAATGGTAGCCGAACATCTAAAAACAGTGGAAGAAAGCAATGAGGATGATGATCACTTGAAGCATATAGAAACGGTATGAGAATTCAATTAAAGTTTTCATATATGTCCATATATTCTAGGAAGATGAGATACTATTCAGTCAAGCGAAGCACTACATCAACCTCATAGTATTACTCAGAACTCCTATTGAAACAGAAACTGCTCGTTCAAAAGTATGCAACAACAATAAATCAGAGGTTATCCATTTGAAAAGAGCTGAATCATATAATTTCTTCAGGAAATGAACACTTCTCAAAACCAATTGTATCCATATATCGATTCAGATCAGAAAAATTCAACGGAAGAAGTACGTGGCATATCAATTGTTAAGAAACATAGTATTTAGTTGATTAAATGGATTTCGAAACTGGTGTATGGGATGTGCTCTTCTGCTAATCTGAAATCCCCTTTGATTCATCGATTACTCACTGAAATACGCCATTTGGCTTACATGCAGCTTGAGAATCTTCAAATTATTCAAGAAGAGAGCAAGAGGAACTTGTCAGTAACTAAGGTTCATTATGAAAACCATGTCACAAAGTATCACTTGATATGTTCAGAAAGCAGTAGTTAAGCCAATATCGTACTTGCCGAACGAGAAAATCTTGATGGAAGGTCTTTCATGTCTATTGATTGATCATAAAGCCAATCTCAAAACATCGGATGTTACGCAGCCAGCTCAAGGGGTTATTTTTTTGACTAACTACTGCATCTATTTCAAAGGAAATTCGTGTGAATATGGAGGTGTCGTGAGAGGTAGAGACGAGTTTAAACTTAGTATTCAGAAGAAACGGAAATGTGTGTTCCATTGATGTCAATAGTCAAAAAGATATCTTTAAGTGATGATGTTTTTAAAGAAGTAATGAAACAGATAACACATCAGGTAATCATATAGTTGAAAATCATTTATTTGTCGGATCGATCATAGGATACGAGAAGGTTTCATAGTCCGATTATGATTCGAACAATACATTTTCAGACTGTTTGTATATTTTTCGATGAACAGGTTTCCTTTATTGATTAGTATGCTCATCTCACCGATATTTTAGGTTAATCCTTTGAGTATTGAGAGTTTATGGTCGAATATTGTTGGAGTACGGTGGCCTACCAGTTTCCAAAATGCTTTCTTAGCCTATTCTAATGACAATGGGATGCTCACTCTTTCAAATGATTCTAGGAGATCTTCGAAAATGCCATCATTTCTTCGTGATATCACTCTTAATAAATCGAAAAAAGGTTTGTTTTGAAAAAATTTAATGAATACATTCGTTGGATCAGATTTTCGAACAGGAATGGAAAGCACTTTCTCACTATCCACTTCTCCAAGAAGACAAACAGCAATTTCTCAAATAGATGATCATAAGAAAAGTATTTTCATCACCTTTTCGTTACAATTTCTGTTTTTTTCAGCTTCCTGCTTTCTCTCAACAAACCACTCTTATCTAACTGATTATGCTCGAATGATGAAAAGATCCGATATCCGCTTATCTCATGCTAACAAGTTCTACGATATATCGAAAACGTCTGCTCAAATACTATTCGAAGCATTTACAGTTATTTTAAGGCTTCCGTCATGCATACTCGTGCCTACAACAGTGAAAGATGATTTTTTGTTCAAAATAAGGAAAATTTACAAATATAATAGATTACCTGCCATTACGTGGGCTAATACATCGGGTCAAGTGCTGCTTCGTGGAAGCAGCTTTAACTCTTCAAATCTCATGCTGAAGCTTAAAAATCAAGCTTTTAACCGTTCTGATCTCACTTCTAACTTTTCCTACTCGAAATTAAATTTTTTAAACAAACACGATTTTGAAGTCATGAGCACGGATGCAGCTAATCAGGTAACGAGATTTCTTTATAATGCATTAAAAAAATTTATTCAATACAGGAAGATTATTTCAATCAGATAATACAAGCTGTTCCTACTGTAATTGAAGCTATGTATCATCCTCTACAATTGAACAGTTTTTACAATCTTGTTGGTACTGAGATGTATAACCCAGGTACTCACATTCTTATATGATCGGAAAATAGACTCGCTTTAGTTTTCGATCGTATCAAAACAGTAGCATGGAAAATGGAAAAAAGCCATAAATCGGCAATGGAAATTGTACATGGAGTTTTGTCGAAGCGTGAGAGGATGGCGAGGTAGATTCGAGACCAATTCTTATCATTTAGCCGACGTTCTGCAAACATCAGCAAAAAATGAAAAGCCAATAGAGTTGGTGGAAGGAGATAAGAGGAAACTGTTTATGCTCTCCGATAAAACAAGCGTGAAGGTGAAATTTCAGCTTTTAACTCGCAATACTTAGAGAGATTACAGGTTTTGGGTAAAAATGAGAATGTTCAAGTAGTCCAAACCAAATATCCATCGATCAGCGAACAAAAGACTGTCTTTAAGCAACTATGCCGAACCTTCAACTCTCCCGCAAAATCTAAATTACATGTGAGCTTCTATGAATCGGGATGGCTTCAAAAGGTTTAAAATCGAATTATTTTGATTTTTTTATCTGTATTGTAAACTTCAGGTCGCCGAAATAATTCGTCTGTCAGTATCAATGAGCACCATTATTAACAGTCTAAAATCTTCAGTAAACTATAGTCGACTACAGACTAAAGATGATTATTTCGTTTTATAGCTTTCCTTGTGTATAGAAGATGGATGGGATGCAACGTGTCAATTAATGTCTCTGACACAGATACTTTCTGATCCGTTTTACAGAACTATTGAAGGATTCGGGGTAATAGCCATCGATAAGATAGATTTATTTCATTTTTTTTTTTACAGATTCTCATAGATAAAGAATGGGCTGCATATGGATATCATTTTTCATCGCGAAACAACTGTTCAGTCATTTCTACTAACAATGACATCATCCCTGTGTTTCTCATTTTTCTGGATGCCGTTCATCAAGTAGGACATTTTTTCTTTTTTTATTAGATTTTTCCATACAGATATTGGTTCAATTCCCAACTTGTTTTGAGTTTAACGATTACTTCCTTCGCTTCATTGCTTATCACAGCACGACCGCATACTTCCGTACATTTGTCCTCGACTGTGAGAGCGACCGTGTTCAACTGGATTATACATATCCGGATGTGGAGAAAAACAAAAACATTTGGAGATACATCAAAAAATTGAACGATGAAACAGCAAAGTTCAAGAACTGGAGTTACTCAGATAACACAGAAGATGTAATAATTCCGTCAAGTTCAATCGCTTCCATGGAGATTTGGAGTTTTTACGTGGAAAGACTGCAAACAAATGGAACCGCTTATGAAATAAGTTAGTTTCCAACACTCTCCTCAAATTAAATCGTATCTTTAAAAGGGAAACGGAACTGGCTAGAACCCGCATTGATTATCAAGGAGTCTTCATTAATCTGTTCAGAATGCTCGCCATTGGTTAAAGACGATAGGATTAATGTGAATGAGGAAGAGGTTTCAAAGCAGGAGAATATAAAACATTCTTCTTTCATTCAGATATGTGATAATCGAGAAGAGAAGCGTTTGTCTTCGCCTCGTTTCTCAGTTGACCCCAGCCCTGATGACGTAAAATTTACTGCAAAATTTCAAAAAACAAAACAATTTTTCCAGTCGGTGTTGTACAGTGAGTATATTCAAGAAGCCTACAAACTTGGGTCGCTGTTCAGTCTTCTGATGATGAGGGAGAGCTCACCACCTAGTGGTGAGAGCACCAGTCAGTCCCAAGTGGATAAAAAGTCAGAACCCGTCTTCGTCTATCAAGGATATTTAACTAAAAAAGGAGCACGCACAAATATGAAGAAAGAACGATGGTTCGCATTGGATTCTGTAAATAGAAAGGCATGTTTGAATATCATAAACTAAGATAATTAATATAATAATTTCAGCTATTATGTTTTGATCGGCCAAATGATAGGCTACCAAAACATGTTATTGAGCTTCCTGATATAAAGAATGTCTCGACAGAAGCTGGAACAAACAAAAGCTCACTAGTGGTATTATAAAAGTGCCACTGTTGGCATTGATATTTATTATTGCAGATTACTACGCATGGCAAGACGCATGTTCTCTCATCTAACTCTATTGAATGTATAAATGAATGGAAGAGAAATATTGAGAAGTTACTCTTCGAATGAAGCTGCCATAATTATAATGCAAAGATTTTTTATTTAATTCGTGCTTTGGATACGTCATTTTGCTTTCTATTAAGCCACAAACTTTTATTTGTTATCTGTTTAATCTTTTTTTCTTTTTTAAAAGCATTTATGTTTTAATTGTAGCCGGTTATTGCTATCTCTGGAATAGTTCTAAAGATTATGAACAGACGAAAGACTTTAAGTAAAGCCTAAAACTACCGTTAAGCTAATCTGATTATGTGCCTGAGATTCAGCTACAATAGCTTATCAAAGTTACTTACATAGATACATGCTTACATATACATACTCAACGCCCCTAAACAATAATCCTAGACTAATGTAATCATTGCAATCGAAAGAGCAAATTGTATCAGAAAAAAGCCACAATGAGCAAACAATACCATTCTGGGATAGCTAATCTGTAATCATTTTCATTATTCTTTACATCAGATTACATGATTGATTGATTAAAAGCCGTTTTCCGGTACGATTGCTCTAATCTCAAATGATATTTTATCACTATAAAAGCATGCTCGTACGAATCATTTGTTTAATATGATTAGAGAGATGATTTAGTAGTTCCCTCTGACCTCTTTTCGTTGCTCTTCATTCTTCGTTTCACGTTTTATTGATAAAATGTACTTTGGAATGCCGATCTCTTTCTATACCTCAAAATTGGAAAAGAGAGCAGAGGCTGAGAGATAAAGAGAAAGTGCGTGAGAGAGTGTCTACCTCACTGAGAGTCCTATAAAGAGATGATGAGAGTAAAAGATAGAAAGATTGTCATACCTTTTACTATCACTACCATTATCTTGCCACATACTCTTGCCTCGTTATCTCAAGCACGGGCGTGTCGTTCAAAAGCCTTTCTTCCACAGTGAAAATCGCTTTCAGATTTGTTAGCGATATAAAGCTGATAACGAGTTAACAGTTCGACGAGCCGCTGCAATCGGACATGGTGGACTCTTCAACACCCCGCTCCCGTTCAAAAGGTAACGGTTTACAAAGTTTACTACAAATAATAGTAACTATCTGTAAGAAAACATTAGGACAGGAAGCTGTCACTAACGGCATCAAGTAAATAAAAGCACTTAACTGTTCTATTTTTTGAGATAACACCATGAGAGATAAAAAAATGCATGGTTTTGACTTTCTAATCATTAGATCATAAAAATAAACCTAAACTTTGATTTCAATCTCCTACGTCGCGATTTCATTGAAAGCAGAGTTACGAGCGAACGCCTGCTGTGAACTCAAGCAGCAAACACATGCAAAGCGCGGAAAAGCAAAACAAACTGACTTGTCTACTTTTAAGGAAGCGAGGTGTCTCGTATCGAGATGCCGTTAAAGCCTAAACAGGAGATGTATACGACCTGGCCCGATATGATCAAACATTGGCCGAAAACCACATTATGTATAGTATCCAACGAATTCTGTGAACGGTTTTCCTACTATGGAATGAGAAGTACGTTACTGAAAATATATAAAAGAAATATTTAAAACTCTCATTTATTTACAGCTGTCTTAATTTTGTATTTGCTTAATGTTTTAAAGTTCACCGATAACCAGTCTACGATTTTCTTCAACAGTTTTACTGTACTTTGTTATACAACTCCACTTTTGGGTTCTATTGTGGCTGATGGCTATATTGGAAAATTCTGGTTAGTATTAAGAGATTGATATGATTGTTGAAATTTAATGTTTTAGGACTATTTTCACCGTCTCAATTCTATATGCTGCTGGACAGGTCATTTTAGCTCTTGCATCTACTCAAAATCAGGAATCATCTGTCCATCCGTTAGTTTTTTGTCATATTTCAAATCAAAAACTTCCTCATTCGAATTTTTTTTTTGAATTCAAAAAGGAAATGTAAAAGCAAAAGTTCTAAGCGCGTGTTGCATTTTATCACATTAATCTGCTAGTAGCTATGTAATTTTCTTATCTAATCTTAATAAATTGCACTCTAAACTGAAACGCGTCTTACTGATATAATGCATTTGTAGATGGATGGATATGTCAGGGTTGCTTATAATCGGTTTTGGAACTGGAGGTATCAAACCATGTGTTTCGGCTTTTGGAGCCGATCAGTTTGATCAGGGACAAGAAAGAATGTTATCACTTTTCTTCTCTATGTTTTACTTCTCAATCAATGCAGGATCTATGATTTCAACCTTCATTTCTCCTCTTTTCCGATGTAAGTAAGAGAAAATGATTTATAAGAAAAGAAAAAGGGAAAATTGGGATAAAAGAATTGACAATAACGAATTTCAGCTCAACCATGCTTAGGTCAAGATTCTTGTTATCCACTAGCTTTCGGTATTCCAGCTATATTGATGGTTCTCGCAACAGGTTACATGGCTGTGTGAATGATAACAACATTGATAACATTTACAGCGATTTTCATGGCTGGTTCCTTCTGGTACAAAAAACCACCAGTTAAAGATAACGTTTTCGGAGAAGTAGCTAGATTGATGGGGGTATATAGACGAACTAGAATAAGATGCAGTAACTCCCAAATATTCAGAGAGCTATCTCAAACAAGGGCAAAGCTACCAAAAAACACGATCACTGGCTCGATTACTATTTGGATAATCATGATTGCGCTAATGACCCAAGGTAAATATTATGAAGATAATAATAATAAACGAATCGCTGATTATAGATGTCTCGAACTTCAAGCAGAGAAACATAGAAGCACTGTTTGCCAAAAGGCTAATTTCATTGATGATGTCAAATCACTTTTGAGAGTATTGGTAATGTTCTTACCTGTACCTATGTTCTGGGCACTTTACGATCAACAAGGTTCCGTATGGCTCATTCAAGGTATTGCACTTTCTAATAATCTAAAAATAGAATCTTGTTAAGGTATTCAAATGGATTGCCGAGTTGGCAGTATTCTGATTTTGCCTGATCAAATGCAAACTCTGAATGCTATTCTCATCCTTCTATTCATTCCTCTTTTCCAAGTTGTCATCTATCCTATCTGCTCATACTTCATTGAATTGACGTAAGTACAAAGCTGATGAAACAAAACCTAGACTTCTCTCTTACAGACCTCTCAGAAAAATGGTTGCCGGAGGATTAATTGCTTCTTTGGCTTTCCTCATTACAGGATTCGTGCAGTTACAAGTCAATGTAGATAAACGTCTATAAAAAAATAAGTAAATACAAAAACGGTTTCAGACGACCTTACCTCCTATGCCATCAAACGGACAAGCCTACGTCAGTGTATGGAATCAAATTCCAAATTGCGTGGTGACAGCCAGTTACGGTGGCCGAGATGCTAAGCTACAAACCGGAGTCGTTAGTTGACTTTAGCTGAAACAGAAAAACAAGAGGTATATTTAAAGGCTATGGTGGACAGTAAGAAGAACGGAGCAACAACATTCCATGTAGCATATCCCAGTGGAAAGGCAAAGAAAGATACAACATGGGACGCTGTGATTAACTTATCTTATGGAAATGGGTGCCCAGCAAACTTACCAAAGTCTCACAAAATCACCGTCAAGAACCAAAAAGTTTTCTTCGTCGGAGTAAATGTAAACGGAGTGTATGATGGACAAGCCAAGCCCGATAAGCCAACTCAAGGAACTGGAGAATTCTCGATGTCGTAAGTATATTTTGTAAGATTCACCGGCTAAAATATAATATGTAGAATCATTACTGCTATGGACAAACCATTTGCTCAGAATTTTGCTATGTGCAGAATAGACAAGAACACTGACAAGAACTACCCATGTAATCCTAAGCGTCCAGCCGACTTCTACTACTGGGAGACCTGGTACAACAGAGGAACTGTTCGTTGTCTACTCACTTATGTTTCATAACGTTCACTATTCAGGATGACAGATTGAAGAACGCTACATACGACGGTGGAAACCAACCAGGTCAAACTGCTGTCGTCTATGACTTCAAGCCTGTTAAGCCAGGAAAGTGAGTTTATCTATATTCCGAACAGAGTTAATCCATACCTTTTAGATGGGAATTGTTCTATATGTATAATACACCAAAGAATATTGATACTCCACCAACTATGCCCAAAGAACAAGTCAAAGTTAAAACCACTCACTTCATCTATGATACCCAAACTCAAGGAGCAGTCAATGTGTTTGCACTTACAGGAAGCCTAGTAAAGCCAATTAAGTTAAAATCAGACTAATTATAATCATTTAAAGGATACACCAACTGTTTACAAATGGGAATTAGTTCATTCTAATTCCGTGAACATCCTCTGGCAAGTACCACAAATTGTAACCATTACTGCTGCTGAAATTCTTTTCTCAATTACTGGATACGAATTCGCATACTCACAAGTAAATAAGAAAAAAGAAAAAAATTACAATATGATAAACAATGATTTTCAGTCCGCACCATCAATGAAAGCTTTAGTTCAAGCTTTGTGGCTTCTCACCACTGCTATTGGAGACTCAATTATTGTTCTCATCACTGCTTTGAATCTATTCACAAACATGGCCACACAATTCTTTGTGTATGCAGGTCAATCAAAATTCCAATTAAAAAAAAGAAATTACAAATTGTTTTTCAGCTGTCATGGCTATTGTTATCGTAATCTTCGCCTTACTATCTATATTTTATTATGAATACAACTACTATACTAAAGGAGAAGACGACGAAGAGACAGATAGATTAACAGAAAGAAGTAACGACAATCTCAGAGAGAGTTTTTCATTTTCAAATAAGGTAAGTTCACAGCCATGTCATCTTCCTCTCCCCCTTCTTAACTATACCCTATTACAAACCATCCAGATGTATCAAAATATATAACTTATATATCAATGTTTCAGGGATACCTGGACGAGCTTGAACCTATCACAGAAGATACAAGATTCTAATTAATATTAATAGAAATGGATATATATTTTATAATTCTATGTAAAATAATGAATAAAATAATACTTTCATCCTCATTATGTCACTGAGTCTTCTTAGAAAGAATTAAAATGCTTAATGAACTATATTTGAATAACAAATGATGTGGT